AAAAAATTTTCAGTTCAAGTTGACTTGAATTGTTCCTGCGTTGGATACAAAATTTTAATAGTACTTTCGACTGAAACGTGCATTTATATACGAAGGAAAATAAGTTAAGAATACTTTTATCTTAATAAATAGGAAATGTCAATACAGGCATGAACGTGCAAATGACAGAACTTCCAAGCAATGTAATACCAGGAATTATTATAGGTAATTTTACGTTGAATAAATTAGAAGATTACATAATTCAGGATGCAGCCAAGTATTAAATAAGCTGAATCTCGTGACAGTATCATCATCAAATTGTGAATATTTAAATATTAAGAGCTAACACCGTGGACTTAGTGGTGAATAGTTTAAATGACAGGAACGATATGGCCGACGTAATCAACGAGGAAACCAGAAAAATTTCTGTCATATTTTGTTTTGAATTTCAAAAATAAACCTTCAAAAGAAGAATTGAGTTATCTCTACAGCGTATGTGATATGTTTTTAACATTGCGTGAACTTCCCAAATGGGCATTTGCTACAAGATGTTGGACGTTTCATGGATTGTGGAGACAGTCATGTTCTGATCGGACGCTTTTTGACGAGAAAATTAACGAATTGGGATTTTCAAATTGTATTTAGTATTCAAGATTAATTTTGAAGTAAAATAATGATAATTCGAGAATCAGCTGTGATTTGAACTTATATTTCATTAGAATCATAGCGGTTCTGCTCTGAAGGAGTCCATTCCGTGCGAATCAAATGAAAAGATATGCATGCGTGAGCTTCACTCGTCTTGAGCTTGTACAGCCAAAATAAGGTAGGTTTGGACCATGCAGTTGTTACAGCTATGATGAGGAAGGCGTGGACAACGATGGTGTAACAGCTATAATGAGGGAGCCTTTTTTCAATTCTGGTATTACAGCAATGATGAGGAAGGCTTGAACAACGATGGTGTAACAGCTATAATGAGGGAGCCTTTTTTCAATTCTGGTATTACAGCAATGATGAGGAAGGCGTGGACAATGCTGGTGTTACAGCTATGATGATGAAGGCGTGGACAATGCTGGTGTTACAGCTATGATGAGGAAGGCGTGGACAATGCTGGTGAAACAGCTATAATAAGTAAGATGTGGACAATGCTAGTTTAACTGCTTTAATAAGGAAGGAGTGGACAATGCTGGTGTTACAGCTATGATGAGGAAGGAGTGGACAATGCTGGTGTTACAGCTATGATGAGGAAGGCGTGGACAATGCTGGTATTACAGCTATCTATGTTCCACAAATGATGCCGGCAGTAATGTAGGGTGTGACTCACCTAAGCCTCACCCACTCTCAGGCCGTGACTCATGTGCAAGTTTTGTGTCTGTCATATAAATGAACATCTGCACGCACACAGACGAACACAGGCAAACGTTCATGAACACTGAAACGAATATAAACATGAAAACATAAAAGGAAAATAATAAAACATTACTATAATCGCTAGAGCTGAACTCAATTTACGCCATTCGGATGTAATTATTTTCTCTATAATAATATTACGTTGTACTTGCTATTTCAGGTAGATACTAATATATTCCTATCGTAAGTGACGAATGTTCGGGCATCAATCGGACGTAAGAAATGCCAAAGGAATTATTTTTTACGGTACCCACAGAAGCGAAAATGAAAACAATAATAAAAAATACTAACAAAATTAAATTCACGGCTAACGAAATTGGAACGCAGAATTACTTCTAACTCGTAAATCGAGAGTTTTTCAAAGTTTCTAGTCCTTTTCAGATCAGCCTTGCAATTTGATCTCTTAAAATGTACGTACTATAAAATACTATCCTAGTCGTTTCTAAATTGATCTCTGCTAATTGAAGCACAAGAATAAGAACTGTAGATAACGAGTGGGACAAATTGTTACACATTTTACTGTTCATGCAAAAGCTTCTGTAATTATGTATGGCATTACGAGACACATGTAGAGCAAAAAAAAATGTATACAAATATATGACACGAATTCTAACCTTGAAGATCGACAGATGGGAAGATTATTAAAGAAATTCAGATTTAAAAATAGACAGAACTGGCGGCAGGATTGAATGAATAAAGGCTTCTCGCTCCACCGTATGTTACGTAATCTCAATCTCTGAATAATGAAAAACTCAATCATGAATTTTAAGCATCAGAATGTATTACCTCAATTGCTAATATGTATGTCCAATTCTCGGACTCAAATTTAAGTCGATCGAAAATTCCATCACTTTCTCAAGCCTATATTGATTCGTGTCCCTATGTAAATTCCACCCCGACTAAAATAGATCGCGTCTTGCAATATTTTAAGACTAATGCAGAGCAATGCCAGCGCTGTCGCAACACAACGTAGACCGGCAAATGTAATCAAAATAGCATGGTGGTAATAATAATAATAATAATAATATTACTTTTAACCCTAAACTATGCATCATCTTGCATTAAAAAATAAAAAACGATAATTTTAAAAAAATGGCAAGCAGCAAGCGCTCTCAACTACGACTTACCGCGAACAGAGAACTCGGCGCGCTCCAAGTCTGCCTATTTCTGGCGAGGTAACCTCGAGTCTTGGCATCGATTTTGATGAGGAAATTGTTCAGTTTTACAGCGCGTGCCCCAAATGAAAGCTACCGTGAGATGACGGGGGATTCATCAACGAATAAATCAAGCACCTAAATCAAGAGGATAGAGTCTTTGTGCGATGCAAGTTTAGGCAAGCAAAATTGATCACGAATAGCTGAGAGGTGGAGAATTTCAATTGAATAGGTCCACACAACTGAGCCGAAAGCGAGAGGCATTTGACTTTATCAGGTGTAATAACGCTCAAAAAATCATGAACTGAGTTTGTATGCTGGTAATTTAATAATTATACATACTTGTTAAAACGGTTGATATAAATTATATTTCTAATGAATCTACACTGTTGGCATGCGACTAAAATTAAGTCGCGGGCACGGCGGCGGCTGTGAGTAATAAACCTAAATCAAGCAAATGAGATCTTGAATCTATACTGCAGGAATGAGTCAGCATTTTTTTAAAGCTCAGGACAGAAGAAAAAAGCGAGCTTTTGAATTTCGGTGAATGAAAAATTAAAACGGAAAAAACATGACTACAAAAAAATTAACTTACATGATTGGTGCTCGTTTTATATTGTTTCATAATGTTAAGACTGGGCAGTCTGACAAAAATCCTAAAAATTCAGTGCACAATAAAACAATATCAAAGTCTGAGGCATTGCTACACTTTAATAACTAAGATGGGAGCTTCCTAAACCTGCATCGTCTTTCACACGAAGAGGAATGCAAACGAAATAATTATAATCCCGTGCAGAAGCGACGTGTTTCCAGCAAATTCAGTGTAAACTTCTGCTTGATAGAGTATGAGCTGTAAATAATATTGGGCAATTAATTCCTGAAATATTGCTAGCCGTTCTAGCTATAGTAGCCTTTTCATGTGCATTGAATATTTTTCCCAAGCTTATTCAGAAGAAATCTAAAGTTTATATGTTGCATGTAAGTCCAGCAGCTATCTCAATCAATCGTCAGCTATAGAAAAGGACGGATCCCTTGTGAATCAAGTCACGAAAAATTCACGAATCGGCAACAGGCCATGGGCCTATTTCTTCAACGCCGACACTTCTATTATATTCTATAAAATTTGCTATGAAATACCTTCAAGCAAAATGCCTTACACCGACATCACGACTAGCCTGAGATGAATCTGACCTCAGAATTCTCATGATTCAGCCCAATTTACAGCATAGAATGGTTGTTATTATAACGCTGGTCCGGCATAATACTGAAAGCTTCTGATCAGTGCCTGCGTAGGAACACACATTTGCATCCCTAAACACAATTAGAATTAAACACTTAATTTTTCTGCAAGTTTCAAACGTAAACCAAACTTTTCAATAAAATTTTACTAACAATAACAGAAAGTAATATTTTTCAGAAAATTTATGATCAAAATAAGAGAAATTAAAACGAAACAACCAAAGAAAATTAATATGATTATGAGCAGAAGCCAACAAAAAGAGTTAGTAAGCCAATATAGCAAGAACTTTATACAAGGTAATTCTCCATGAAAAATGTCTTAGGATACATTAAAAAATGCAAACAAAGCTAAATCTAAGTGACTGGATAACTTACCTGCTGCAGTCCGAAGGCCGCTATGAAATTAATGGAATCAACTGATGAAAAAAGAGCATGCCACGTGACTCAACAATCATCGTTTTTTCGACAGTGATCAACAACAGAGATCGAGTCCCTGGGCTGACGATCTAAGTAATTTTAGTTTCAACGAGATTCATGCTCGGTGATTTTTATACACGTCATATGTTATAGAGTTCGTAAAATTAGTCCGAAACTGTTTTCTAGATAATCAATGTCGAAGAGCTCAGCTCGGAGAAAAATGTTTTTATACAAAAGTTTGATAGCATTTACCTTGCATTTGAAAGCTAAGAAAACGTCAAACGAATTCTCCGCATATTCATTGAAATTAATTCTCGTTTATCTATTGTATTATTATCTAGTGTATGTAGCAAAGCCCCTTAAATGCCGCTTCAAAGTAACAACATTTTTATTTAAAAAGTACTTCACTGGCATAACTATTTCAACAAAGTCTAAAAAAGTCTCCAACGTCTGCATCCTTTATTCACTCGCAACAGTTAATCCAGATATTCAATAAAATATTTAGGACTTCACTTCTGCCTTAGGAGTGTTGCATGTGATTTTTAAGATCAAACTACCACATACAGACACTAAGAGCCTACTTTAAGTAATCAACCATGTAAAATTACAGGTAAACCATGAAAGTTATTGCCATTATCGGCGTGGAAACGAAACCAAGTTTCCCAGAAGAAATTAAGGGAACGCAAAATACTGGCACATGATAACAAGTATCAAGTATGAAGACCAAGAGCCCATGAAAATTGCATTAGAGTTTCCCCGTCTCAATAACTGAAACCGGAAGATAAAAGGAAAAGAGAAATTCAATAGTTTCGCATCGTTTATTGCGTCGCATTCAAGTTATAACAGATATTGCGAGGCGCTCAAGTCATAACAAGAGTCACTGATGATGGAGACTCTGAAGCTCGTCATTCGCAAGACCTAATCATCGTTTAAAGACTTATCGAGTGATCAGAAATGATACATAGGTGGAACAGGGCTTTTGTTTCAGGAAAAATTTGTAGTGACATTCACATTTTTACTCGCCTACCACAGGCTAATTGAGACTGTAAGGCACGCTTCACACCGTGATGGAAAGCAAATATTTACCGAATTGGTTGAAATTTTTGAAAAGAAAACACAATTGCACAGGAAGGTTCAACCCCGACTTACTTTGTTTATCATTAGAAAAGTAACATCGAAGTGAACGACTAAATTAATAATAAACTAAAGGAGACTGAAGCGTGGACAAAAGATTTAGGAATAATAGTGGAAATATTATAGCAAAGTCACTCAATTACTTAACGCAACGAAATTCAACCAAGTAGCATACAAGAGAATTATTAGTGATATGAAAAGTAGAGAGCGTGCTGATTCGATTTAAAAGAGAAATAGAAAGGTTCAGTTGCATGAAAAGTCTGCTGGCGATGAAGAGAGTGGTTAGGACTTCCCAGAAGCGTTGAGACTTGATTGTGCCTATAGCAGTTAATCTTCCGTGATATGTCATCTGTATTATCTTTATATAAATTAAATACAACTGTATGAAGCAAGTCATATTGCATGATCATAACAAGTCATCGTGATATGAGTTCTAGCAGTCCATTGAAGGCAGTGACTTGAGTTTTCTTACATTCCTACCAAAAAGTTTAACACTCTAAGCACACATATATACCTTAACCATCCAATTATCAGGGGAACAATTTATTTCCACAGTGGCGGACCAATATACGAGAAAAAGCAACAAAGCAGATGTGATTGGAATTGAACAAGTGCTAAAGTTAATTCAAAAGTTATGCGATGAATTTCAATAAATCAACATTCAGAGTGTACAAGGTTAACAGTTATTCAACAAGACTCGCACAGAACGTATCATACAATATAGTGAAAATTAGGCTAGGCGATAAATACAGACAACACAATAAAGGCTATATATTATAGCTAATTTCACGCAGAGTGGAGACTTAATGCAATACATGCCCAGAAAGCTGTCACACAGCCGAAATGTTCAACCCTGGACTTAATGAGTAGTGACATGAGTAGTGACATCCATGCATTGTTGCGATGTGTATGATTAATGAGCGGTGTTGGCGTTCGTTAATATTTTCATAATCCAAAAATAGTCCCGACCAAGCTGTCGACCTCGATAATTACCCCATGTTCAGCAATCGCTGATACCCTCCTAGTCGGCAATTGATACCCTTCTAGGCGGTAATACCCTCCCAACCGTCTAGTAAAAGTTCCATAACATATTCAATAGGCCAAAAAAGACGAGAAATTGCTACCAATTCTAATGCAGCAACTTCACTCCCAGTCCCTGCATTCTATAGAATAGTCTATGAACTCGTGTAAAAAAGGTAATTATCTGCTTTAATCAATTATATAATGCAACAAACTAATAAAAATTCACTTTAATTTGCCCTCATAATAAGTCAACAGAACTGTTCACTACTTCATCCGGGTAATCCTGAATCATTAGACCTTGAGCTCGATCGAGATATTTACTCACCAAAATGATACATATAGGAAATGATTCATTTCCATAAACCTAGGAAATGATTCATGTCTACGTCATTGTGCTAAATGACAGCTAAAGTTCTAACCTTCCCGATTTCTAAGCTGTTTCAAATGTTGATTTATCGCAACTCATTCGGGACACAAAAGCTAGCCCCAAAGACACCATAGCAGCTACTAAGTATTGCTACCTGCTTCATGCTGATCACTGCATATCTCGACAACAACAGACCAAATAAACCAGCTGATACGTCCAATGAATTGAAAGACGACATGCATGGATTCAGGTCTGATAGACGGTACGATTCTGCATAAATCATTTAAGAGAGAATAAGGCACGCAGGTGAGGAGACGTAAGTGGAAGAGTCGTAAAACAAATCAAGAAGCAAGATCATGCCATTGCCCGAGACATCCCTAACGGTATTAACATAGTTCCCAATAAAGCAAGACGCTACTCAGCACTAAATTATTCTAAACAAAGCTGGAGAGAAGTAAACGAAACCAACCCCTGATAGCTACCGAAAAAATAAAGACTTTTGCAAACCCTTATGAATAAAATTTTGAATGACATTGAGCGACCATTTTACATTGTACCATCTTTACATTGTATAATCATATGTCAATATCAATTACATATGAAACGAGAAGAGAATGATGTCGTTGTTAAGTCCCCAGATTTCATTGGTTAATCGGCTCCCATAGTTGAAGTCCTGAACGAGACGGAAATGGAGGATTGGTAATTATTATTTGTGCAGATATAGCAGTCGAGAATTGCAATAGTATAATATACAATAAGAAGCAAGAAAAGAGATAAAAGCTCCCCACAACAGAGAGGCCACAAATTTCAGTGAAAAAATATGATACAAAAGCTAAAAGGATGTCACCAATGAATCACCAGTGCAAAATACAGAGCAAAAGTCACCGAATATTAATTGTAAATTAATAAAGATTTTTACAGAATCCTGTGCCCGAATCAAGCCGAGGGCCTTAGGAAGGAACCGAAGAAGGCAGCCGAAGGCCCAGAATCCTAAATAAATCGAAGTCGTGGGGACAGTAAAGGAGGAGGTGAGGACTCGACGCTCACCTGGTAAGGCTTGAGGGGTGCTGCTGCAGGAGGTGTCAGGCGGGTAGGTCCTGACGGCAGCGCTGCTGCAGGAGGTGTCAGGCGGGTAGGTCCTGACGGCAGCGCTGCTGCAGGAGGTGTCAGGCGGGTAGGTCCTGACGGCAGTGCTGCTGCAGGAGGTGTCAGGCGGGTGTATCCTGACGGCAGCGCTGCTGCAGGAGGTGTCAGGCGGATGGATCCTGACGGCAGCACTGCTGTGGGCGACGCTGCCGTCAGGGAACTGCACCACGCAACTGTATTCGCCTGCGTCCGCTGAGGGGATGGAGGATAGAGAGCGCTGTAGTGCAACCCTAATTGAATTATCTTAAGTACTCAAACTTGTCATATATTCACAGAGCCTCTTTGTAAATTGATCCACATGATGAAGGCATCTGCAGTGCGAATAACTCAGCCTCGCTCCTTGAGTCATGATAATCAGACTGAAAGATTAGAATTCGGGCTCTCGAACAGGCTCAAACTATCAGATATTTTGCGACTGCTGAAAAATATTGAGTTATTACGATAGTTCTTTCAGGGCTCCGATATTGCTTGCTCTACCCCAGGCTCTTCCTCGTATGCCATTTCGTTTTCATGACGCTGTAGCGTACCAAAATAAGGAGTCTTATTACTTTAATTAATTAGTATACATTTTACTCAAACTAGTCAAAACCGCGTAGGAAGTTTACGTCGCGTTCGCATTAAACTACGTATTATTCGTTATCTTGAGGCCAATCCTGACAAGAGATTGGTTATGCGCTCTGTCGTGACATTTGGATTTCTTGCAGTTATTGCCTCCTTTATTGTACCCAACACGATTGAAATTATTGAGTGATACGCCAGTACAGGGGGCCTTCATAATTTTATTAAGGGATTTGAAATATCATTTCACGACTCGAGGTCCGCCGAAAGGCTGCACTCTTTTGAACCCAATTTGTTTGCACCATCCCTTACGCAAAAAGATATCAGTTTTCCTTATCACAATCAAATTCTAACGTTACAAGGATTTTAAACATTTTTTATTAAGTATTATTTATTGTGAATGATTTTCTGTTATTTCAGAGCGAATAAAGTCTGACATCAGTTAATTTTAACTCCATAGGTCATAACGCCATCAGGCGAGTTCTGATCTTCAACTCTCACATTGCAAAGTTCACATGATTTTTACTATCAAAATAAACTCCTGCACGTACTAAAATCTCCAGCCCAGCAGCTCACCTTCAGTGGCGACAGGTACTATAAGACGACACACGCCTCGCCGGTACTCCTGTAGGTGGTGAGACCCGCGGGGCGTGAGCTCCTCGCACCCCTTGAACCATCGCACGACAGGGCGGGGGTGGACCAGAATTGTGTTGCTGGTGACATTATTTGGGTAGAGATGAATGTTGGCAGGGCTGATGGAGGCCGCAGCGCTATTATTTACGGATGTCTCAGAGCTTATGGTGATCGGTACGTCAATAATATTGTTATATAAGGCATGAGGTGAATAAAGCAAGACATTCGAGGCAGTAGGAGAGAATAAAGTAGAGTCAGCAGGCGGGCGGTCGGGGCCGGGAGTGCAGGACAGGCGAGAGGCCTCGTGTCCCGCGGCGTCTGGCAGCTGCAAGACGCATTCCAGACGCAGGCCTCGACCGACGGCTGCTTCAACATCACGCAGAGGCTGCACGAGATATTTTCATTCAATAAATATTTACAGTTAGGTAAAGTGTATTATTTATGAATAATTTGAAATAGTTTCAGAAAAATAATTAGAAATAGCACCATTATATTATACAGGAATCGTAGGAATCGTTCAATCACGTTTCTTGCTGCACTGTTAGAAAAATCACCTATAAACGGTTTCACCGGCGTTCTCGTGGCCGGTCGACACGTAAAAAGAAACACCGTACGGTCGTTTTAATTCGAATTCAACACTAGAAACCCGTTCAATATGCGAATAAAACGGATAAAAGGTTTATTTTAACGTGGCGGCCGGCCACTAGAACACCGGTGAGACTGTTTAATTACCGTTTCTTCAAACAGTAATTTACAGGTAATTTCTCGCTCACTTTGATTTCCTAAAGAGAAAATTTAATGAAGAAAAAAATAATAAATCAGATCGATTATCACGCTAATGCCCATATTTCTCTCGGCAATTTAAAACATACACTGTTAGAAAAAACGGTGAAAAAACGGTCCCACCGGCATCCTAGTGGCCGGTCGCCCCGTGAAAATAAACTGTTTCGCCGTTTTTATCAGATGTTTTACGGATTTCTGGTGTTAAATTGGAATAATAACAGTGAAACGGTGTTTCTTTTCACGTGCCGACCGGCCACCCGGCCACTGAAACGCCGGTATTACCGTTAACGGTCATTTTTCAAACAGTGTAAAAACGTATATTTTATCACTCCTAATTTAGAATAGTATCATGAATTAAGGTTTAATAGTTATCTAGTTTAAGGTTAAAAAGTTTATGGCGGCAAAAAAAAGGAAAAACCAACTTTAATCGTGAACAAAAATCACATTAGTACATAAATTTTATCAGCAGTACAGTATAAGGACTAAATAAATACGGACTTATTTAATGGAGCAATAAGCAGTAAGATGATGATTCATTGCAAGTATAGCTTATATCAGAAAAAGAAGTTGATGGGAAAAATTAGAAAAATGTCGCTGAAATGATATGATAAATATGATAAATTCATTTCAGCGAAGCAATACGGAACCTATGATTCAAAGTTATGTTTCAAAAATCATTCTGAGTTTCAGTCTTCGTAGTTATTTGCCATCAGTATTCATAAGTAGAAAAAAAATCTCAAGACGTAAGAAATTAATTCGATTTTCTCTGTCAAAAGCCGAAAGATTTTTCTTTTTATTGAATTCAGTTGTCCTTTATAATGAATTTCTTCGTGTATTTCAAGGCGGAGACATTTTTTTATTTTACTCATTAGGATTCCTTATGACGATAAGATTATTGTTCGTTGTAGGAGTGACCATGAAGCAATAACAATAGTGAGGGGAACCATACCGTGATGATGCGAGGGGAGGCGGATGATGCGGGGGTGTGAGGGGAGTGTGGAGCATCCAGTGATGTCAGGCTCCCTAAAAATACGATAAAAAAATTCACAGCAAAAGCAAGGTGAGCAAATAACAAAAACTACGCAACTAAAAAACGAAAAAGCGATTCTATTTTACAAAAAATGCGTTAATTTCACGCGAATAAATCCAGCAGAAAACCACACAAAAGAATTTTAGCTACAGGGTACAGTCGAAGCGAAATGTGATGCACAAGCGCGTGGTGAGGGCAGTATGTGCTTTAGGAGCCCACACCACATGAGTGGTGTACACGAGAGCCCACACCACATGAGTGGTGTACACGGGAGCCCACACCACATGAGTGGTGTACACGGGAGCCCACACCACATGAGTGGTGTACACGGGAGCCCACACCCCATGATTGGTGTACGTGAAAGCCCACACCACATGATTGGTGTACACGCTTGTATAAATAATATAATCCCATATACAGTTTGCATTTTTCACAGAGATATCTGAAATGCATAAATTTAAATGGGAGAATCAATCGATGGAAGCTAAACGAATCAAGAGGTAATTTTAGGTTTTCTGGCAGTTGTTCTTATGATTACTGTAATCACCATTATCGGAATAAATGAATTTATCATCATATATAAGACTCAAAAACATTGTGCGGAAATCCCTAAATTTGTGATGACCACAGCGATTTAGTGTTCGATTTGATGCAAGAACACATTTCAGATGGCACGCTATACCGCTAATATAGCGACGCAACAAATATCGTAATCGCACGCGAGAAGTCAAACTTGCATCACAGATCTCAAACTTGAATATTTGAAGAATGAAATCGGATTGGAATGAAAGTATTGGTACGATACTAAACCTCTGGATCCTAATAAAAACATAACAAATCGCTTGATCATCACCATACAATGTTGCTTAGAATTAATTAATGCAGAAGCAATTGATTTTCTGATTTAAAACTAAGCAGCTGTGAGGGCAAAACCTGCAATGGGACTGAAAAGAAAGCAAAATATAAACAGACATCTAATACGAGATGATTATATTACTACAAGAACATTGAAGTATTGGGTAATGAAGCCATCACGAAAGTTTCCGCGAAATTATTAGTTTCTACAAATAAAACAACAACATCCGGCTCGTATGTAGTAAAAGTCTATCTAATATGAGAAACGGATTTTATAACAAAACAACACAAACACACATGGATGTTACAAAGTCGAAAGCCTCAAATAGTTTGTCAGAGACGAATACCGACACAATTTCGCTAACATTTAAAAAAAACGCGTGTTTCTTCTATAAGTAAAGATGAAGAGAATTCAATTAAAAAGCAGGTGGGATTACAGCGACACACAAACACCAAATCAAATAAAGGAAAAACACACACAGGAAATTGAAAGAACCTTTGGACGCAGAAGCGTTCCTAGAATCCTTCTGCGTCTGGGGAGTTTTGGTGTGCAATATTGGAAAGGGAACCGAGCCTTCGCTATCTTTGCTAGCAGTTTCCTTGTCAACTTGTTGGCCTTGACCGGGCAACAGGATGCCAAACTCATAGCCAAAGTCATACTTGAAGTAGATCAGGCCACTATCTGGGTCGATGTGCTTCGTACCTACAAGAATCGAGTCACTCTTCAGTTCAAGATAAATTGTTACTTCCGTTTAGCATATCAAGAAAGTAGGAAGTGTGGAGTCCTGCGGAGTGCTCTCTACTTTACATTACTTCAATTTACATGATGACCTGGTAGAACTCAAGCAAATGATGCATGAAAACTTGAAGAAAAAGCAGAACATTTTGGTTTAGATCAGAACAAACTAATTTTTATACGCCGGCATACTATTCGTTGTCATACTATTCGATCAATCGATCAAATTAAATGTATTTATAAGCAGTTCCGATGAGTGGATAATTCTCTAGCTTCGATGGCAACATTTTACAAAGATTGTGTGCAGCCTCATCAATTAATATGCGTTAATGTCCAATGTTAAATTCAATTTGAAAATGAATATTTGTATACATGGTTAATTTATTATGTTTTTTTGTTTATCATACCAAGTATCAAATTTATTTGCTAATTTAATTGGATTTACGAACTTTTAACTGTTCTAATTGAAAATAAATTATAATTTTAATTTAAAAATTTGATACACGTAACCGTTAAGTTTAAATGACTACAGTAAATATCCAAAAAGACTTGCCTTGCTATGAATGCTTTGAGACGACATTAAAAGGAATTTCAACAGTAATTTTACCAGAAAATATAAAGATTACACCGATAATGAACTGACCAAACTCTGATGCTCGGGACTCGTCTCGGTAGACTTGTGGTTCTGTCAGCGCGTCCTGAGGCTCCGAGGAGTCGAGTTCTCCGGGCCGAGACTGTAAGTTTTTCGCAGACTTCGCTGACTCGATGTCTTCCTTGGCACAGAGAACTTCACCCACCAACTTCTCCGTCAAGTTCTGAGCTTTAACGCGAAAACTATGCGTCAGGTCACCCAGCTGCTGGTCCACGTACTCTGATGGCAACGCAAACAATTTTAGTTATTCAAAATCTTGGGTTATCAATGCCACGAAATCTCCGGCGTTAATTGTTTCATTATCATTATATTATAAGATAAGAGCATCTAAAATTCAGACGCAATATAGGCTAGACGCGGAAGAGTTTGATGGAAAGCTAAACACTGAGTCGGCAACAAAAACATCACTTGAGCAAGACCGCTCCCACGACACTCGTCCGTAGGCGGAAGTACTAAGTCTATAAAAGGGCTGGGCACTTTGATAAGCCTCCCCCCCCCCCAGTAGCCTGCACGAACGCCTCAATGTAGCTTTCATTGTAAGATTTGGTTCACATCATACAGCCGGGCACGTGCCAAACATATGCAAGTCACGGTTCGTTCTCTGCCAGGTGCATTCATTCACATGTTGTCCGGTCACGGGCCGTTCTCACTTCATTTCCTATCGTATCACATGCCATGCCAATCACGCAGCGTTACCACTTGGCATATTTCCACATCAAATTTCACAAATCTGGTATGTTGAGATTGCGTCTCGTATGGCTATTTTTTATCATGTATAAAATCTGGTATAATGAACTGGCTACCTGTATCCTTGCCAACAAAATTGTTGGCAATGCTGCAGTCATGTCCCGGTCAAAATATCTTTTGCCTTGACCGTGCCTGGTGCTGGCTTAGCAGTTGCCTTGCACGGCTCGTCTCAGTGCTTCTATAGAAATGCTTCGAGAATATTTGACCTGACCGTGACTGGTATATGCCTGGCATTATGGTGTAACCAAGCTTTACTCCGACCTGACGGTATTAACCGTAAGCCTGTCAGTACCCCTGTAATAACTCCGTAACGTAACCACCCCGTATCAGGACAAGTCTAAGATAGAAACGGTGTCTTTACTTATCCCTCAGATAGTCACGGAATTCCTGTCCTCAGGTTAAACCTACATTCAATACGGACATTCATTCATCTGTTACATACCGACAGTGGCACCTTAATACTGTAGTTTGACAAAGTGTCATCTGAAAATAGGATTTTCCATCCTGACATAGCTAAGTACAAAACCAATGAGATCTTCCGATGATTGCATCATGAAATTTATGTGAATGTATTATGCAAGCAGGAAAAAAACTAGAATTCCAATATAGTATAGGAAAACAGAGGAAATACTGAAGTAAGTGACGAGAATAAATTATAACGACGATAAATGCTGCCACGGAGGTCTTGCTAGAAATATTTCCGGAAAACTGATCAATTACTTATTTCCATAACGAATTTCCTCACTTTTAGCCGATGAAGGTGCTGTGGTGGGTTGAGGGGTGCCGTTGACAGCTGGTGCAAGAATTCCTTCGTAGGGCTTGAATTCAACATGTGGGAACTTGGCAACAGAATAATCTTCCAGGGATTCGCGGCGTTCCCTGTCGTTAAGGAAGGAAGGTTCGAAAAGCTGCTTGGGCTGAGCGCGTAATCCAGGTTTGGTATGTGAAGGCACTGGAGGTTTATCGCCGCTGGTATGCGTTACGTCAGACTTTATTTGACCAGTCTTTGGCGGCCATATCTGCCGGTCCTTACGGAGACTTCCTGGAGATGCAGGCAGAGCTCCTTTTAGAAATACTGATTCTCGCACTGGGAGACTCGGTTGCGATTGCTTAACATTGGCTGATTCGTCACATACTTGTTTCATTGGAAGAGGTGCTAGCCGGCTTACTTCGCTATCAGTATAATCAGACTCAGTTAACGTGCAATATTCATCTTCACTTTTTTCCATGGTAACTCTGAAATTTTCTTCTACGACGTACGTATTTTTTCGTAAAGATGCGTTTCTTTCAGGTCCAATGTACCCAACGACTGGCGGTGGACCGGGCTCCAAATTAACCAAGTCTGGCTTGGAGTCAAGAATGGTTTTGTCTGCGATTGGGTAGTCCGTACTACCTAGAGAGCTTAAAACCACCCTCTCGTGCATTTTTATCCCAGGCCGAAGAGGACCTCCCTGCACAGGAGGCACATCGAATTTGGAAGGAGGAGTAGGAGTACGTTCCCGATCAGCCATCTTTACAGGTTTCGAAAATTTGGGAGCCACAACTTTCTTGTACCTCAGATCATCAGCATCGCTGTCAGATGGATTCCACTTCGGCTTAATTTTCCCATCGTATTCACTGTCATAATCACTTTCTGAGAATTCCCTTTTAACAAATACTTTAGGAGTAGGTGGGAGACTTCCGCGAGCTCTTTTGGGTCGGGGCGGCGACGGTTTGAATGGAAATTCCTCTAAACAAACTTCTACCTCGTGCAATTCTTTAGAGGGGAAGATGCTGCGTTTCTCCGGAGGATGGAGTTCGAGTTGCTCTTCGGTGGGAGGTTTCGTTGATTGGAAACCATTGACGGTAGTAACAGGCTTCTCAGCTTGAGGTTTTTGTACAGTAGTAGTGGTCGTTTCTTTTCTAGTGTGATGCTGTTTGACTTCTTGGATTATGTTCTTCTTCGTGAAAATTTTTTCAGTTTTTTCAATTATCTCTGTGTAAGGTCTCGCCTCGAAGATTGGGACCTCTTTTGTCATAGGCGGAGCGTGTCGAGACTCAACTTCTACTTTGCTGACGAAGCTCAACTTTCCAGCGTGATCACTCGGCGGAATTGGAGGATGCTCAGTAACTTCCATGTGTCTATCTGGAGCATGTTTGGGAGAAGACGCGGCCTTCTTTGTCTGAATATCAGAAGTTGGAGTTCGAGTGGATTTATTCACTGCAATTTCCACAACAGGACGTAACGGCTCCCCGGTTTTAGGCGGGATCTCAAAACCTGATGGAGGCGTCGGCGATCGCTCTCTTGACCTTGAGTGAGATTTGTGGGAAGATGGTGGCGGACGAACCTTGTTGTAGCTTGGCTCGTCAGCATCGCTGTCAGGAGGTTGCCATTTCGATCGGATTTTAGTATCGTCTTCGCTCTCGTATTCGCTCTCGCGGAACTCGCCTTTTCTGAACTTAGATGGTTTGGATAGAGGTACAACCCTTTCTTTCTTGCGCTCCCTCCTACTGAAGGGAGTGAACGGTAGTGCCTCAGGAGGAGGCGCGTCAACTGCCATTGGGCTTATTTTCACGTCCACTTGGTGTGTCATGCCCGTCTCTGAATCAGCTGCAGCTTGTTGCATAGTAGGAGCAGCAACTGTCATATCTGAGAGTTTAAATACGCGAGTGGTGTGCTGTTGGGTAATGAAACGCCTATGGAACTTGCTTGTATCGGATATTGTGGTAATTTTTGTCGATTCAACACCAAGCGTGTCCGTATGATAGGAAATGGGAGGGGGTGCAGGAGGGATATAACCTTCAACTGCCACTGGTTCCGGCTGAAGTTCAGGTGACATTTCTTTTTGAAGAGAAGAAAACGACGATAGAGGCGATTCTTGTTCCGGTTTGACCGAGATTTTGGAAAGGCCCTTTTTCATTTTAGGTTGTGAACTTACTATCGGAAGCTGGTGCTTCTCAGCCTCAGATTCCGAATCTGGAAATTCAATTTTAGGACGAGGTGGTCCTTCGAACCTAGGGGGCGCTACATCGAACTGTGAAGGTGGAGTAGGCGTTCGCACTTTAGGCATAGGTTCTCGATGATGCAAACTTGGTTCCACTTTTGTATACGTAGATTCTTTCACCTCTTGATCCGAGGGTGGGGCCCATTTTGGCCGTACTCGGTCTTCTGTCGCGCTTTCATAGTCACTCTCGCGAAATTCCCCGGGAACAAACTTTTTCGGAGTAGGTGGTGGAGCGGCTTGAGGCTTCCTCTCTTTAGGAGCCTCAATTTGGTATGAAAAGGCTTCAGGTGGGAGATCAGGTATCCCAACATCAATTTGCACTTCCCTGACCAGTTGCGTAGACTTCAGCTTCGCATCAATTTTTGGAATATATTTAACCGGTTCCTGGATGATTCGAGGTTCGCTTGTTGAACCCGTGTCGCGAACGACGGTCAAATCTTTAGGTGATGGCATCCTTTTATCAACCACATTGACATCTCTTCTGGAACCTTCATTGGGCTTATTGGTACTGGATCTCGGTTCCCGAGCAGGAGATCGTGATGACTTCCTAGTAATTTCCGATTTTTTACTGGACATTACCTTGGTGTGGGTCTCAGTCACTACTTCAAATTTTCTGTGGATCCTCGAGGTGTCAGTCGAGTCATCGCTCTCGTCTCTTTTGGAGTAGTAAGTGTCCTCGCAGAAAGGACTGTGTCCTGGGGATGTTTGATAAGAAGATTTTGAGAACTTTTCTTCGTGGGATTGTTTGGGACTTTTTGGCTTATGTTGTGCTTTATCGGGCTGTTGGGACTTTCTGGGCTGCTGTTTTTCTCTGCTTCTTCCAGGATGTGGGCTTTCATCGTCGGTTGTATCCTGTGTGCTACGTTCAGATCGTTCTTCAGTTTTGGAAGTAAAGACCTGCATAAAAAGTAAAAATTATGTTAAAGGAGCCTATGTTTCAGTAAGGAACAAATTTCATTATATTCACGTATGCCCGCCTAGTTCGATGACTGCCAAAATGTTCTTATTTTTACATTAAGCATTAAATTCTACGACAGTAGTGTAAAGGTAACAAGGATTAACGTAGCACAAAATAATTTTTTTCAAGTAACTAATCCACACAAAAAATGTAAGCGAAAATTTTGTTAATTGGCACTTATAGCGTAACACGATAACATCTAGAGCTAATGAATAAAAAGCGTACCACCAAGAAGCGTTATGCAAGCGACGTTAGTGAAAAACAATACTATTCAGTCAGGGTTACTAGAATGCTTTCTAAATAAAGTAAGTAAGATAGACATAAACGCAGGCAGTGATGGAATCGTCAGTTTTGAGGTTTAAATGAATGTTTCATGATACGAAACACATGATAGATCAACTTGTGTTGGAAACTGTAGAATAGATACATGCATATATCAGAACCCCTATGTGCGCGGTACTTTATCTCAACAAATTACTTGTTTCGCTTTGTGTCCATACACGCAACTGATCACATAGTGGTAAACATACTCTTATACCATAAGTTCACTTGAGCTATAATTCGCTCATTTGCTTATTGTTTAGCAGGGATCTGTTAACTTCCATGCATGGCGAGGCCGTATGCTGGTGGTCAGTTTTAGCTTTAGAGACATCACTCGGTCGGGAGGGCAATCGCACGCAATTTAGATTATGACTTACTAACTTACTTATGTAGCATTGAAAGCCCTGCATCTTTAAGGCCTTTACTTGGACATTGACCATAGTTTCTTAACCTGCGTTGGAAGGAGACTTATTAGATATCGAATAAACCTACAGTAAAACTCCGGAGCAGAATTTGAGTATCTTTCGCAAGAGACGAATAAAGCGGGAACAAAATCACGGGAGCCATGCAATAGAGAATGACACTTCGAGTGACACAATTCAGAAATTGGCACGAATAAGTAGAATAATAACATATAAGAATAATAGTGATTACGCACGAACAAGAATTTAACACCACATATGGTTTCCAACAATCGCTAGAATGTAATTAGAAAGATTTTGAGTACTAAAGTAAAACGAAGATAGAGAAGAGAACTGAGAATTTCAACTAAGTTGTGTACGTCAAGTTATCCATAACACAAACCTGCGAAGATTTAGTCTCGGAAGAGAAGAAAGAACTGGACTGTTGCGTGGAGCGATTCACTGAGGAGGCTGGCGAAGAGGCGAATGGAAAGGAGGGTTGGGCACTAGGAGCGGAAAAGGCACTAGGGAACGAGGGTTGGAACGGAACCTCTCTGCCAAGATCAGCACTTGTACTCGAGTTCACATGAACAGTATGCGGCACTTGCCGTGATGTCGAAGAACTACTAAAACTCTTATGCTCGCTGCTGGAGAAAGATGTGCTCACGTGACTTTCTTTCTTCATAAAGGATGACGTTGTCGTTGACTCGTTCGGATGAACCTTTACGTTACGCCTAGGCAAAGTGCTCTCCGTGTCGGCTACATAGCCTCCATCTTCTGACTCAAATCTGCGAATTGCGGTCTCTTGCTTCTTCTTAATACCATTGAAAGGTTGTATAATTTCTGGCGCACGTTCCGATGATTGTGATGCAGTGTGAGAATGAGACCCTGTGTCTTGGCTGCGTGAGTCAAACAAAGCCGAATTAGCAACACCTACGTTCATTTTTGAGGCACTTTGGACGCCTTCTTTAGAGGGTTTGCTTATCATTGGATGGACATTTCGATAGGAACTTGGTTCAACAAGATTCGGGGTACTGAAGGCACTGTACTGATTGGACAAATTGGGAGCTCCTGGTGAAGACCCCGCAGGAGAATATGAAATATTCCTAACGTGAACGATGTTTTCCTTTGTCTTTTGAGTAGTGTGGCTCGGCCACTGAGTTCGAGCAGGTTGATATGAAGGAGGTGTTGACGATGCAATAGCTGAAGGAATCGATGGAACCGAACCTTTAAAACTTAAACCGTGAATTTTATCCAAATTTTGACTTTTAGTCGTCGAACCAGAGTAATCCACAGACATATGGCGATGTTTCAGGGCAGATGCTTCTTGCAGCGTGCTAACTGGAGCATCGCTGTCAGAGTCTAGAACCCTGGGAACAATGGGACGCAAAGGACCGCCTGAAGGTGGAGGAACATCGAACTGGGATGGAGGCGGTGGAGAGTTGCGCATAGTGCTCCTTGATCTTCCTCCGCGTAGCTTCACGTTCAGTGGTTTGTATTGCAAAGATTCACTATCACTTGCGCATGGGCGCCACTTCGGTGAAAAACTCGCATCATAATCACTCTCATACTCACTCTCGGTGAAAGTGCCAGGTATGAACTTTTTCGGCAAGCGTAAAGGTGTTGCATCTCGGCGAGCAGGCTGTTGTCTTGACGTTTCAGGGACAGCGAAAGGGAAAGGTTCTAAATCTGGTATCGGCTTGTAGCTTCCAATGGCATGCGTCGTGTGAACAGGTGCGGGGACTGCTTGAAGCGGTGATGTAGGAGCATGCTTGGACTTGGGTACAGTCGCAGTCACCGACTGAGACCTCGGTGCCGGCTTCTTGAGCGCCCCAGGAGCAACAGTCTGAGATGAACCATATTTCGATTCCTGTGATCTCCAGAACTCGGTCTTTGATTTGGAATAAATGTTTTCTTCTGAGAACGCTGTGGTTAATTGAGGTTGAGGTGCTGGCCACGAGGCACGTTTTTCTTTGACAACAACACTACTAGACCAGAACACTGGAGGAGCTTCGTATGATGTCGTTGGAATAACTACCGGCTCCGTAACAGGAGGACGTTCTAGGGAATTTGAGCGATTGAGAGTAGACTCTTTGTGAACTTGTTGGCTAGTGGACGTAGAAGACCATTTGGTAGATGTTTCTTGCTTTATATGTGATGTTTCAGAAATGCATTTCGTTTCTTTCGATAAGAACGAAGTACTAGCAGCTTTATTTTGTTGCGGAAATTTGAGTTTGTTTCCGTCTCCCTCGGCTTTCTGTCTAGACGGAACTTGTTTACTACGAGGAGCAGCTACTCGAGTGAAGCCATGTCCAAGAGGTTTCAGAGTTGGCTGAGTAGAAACGTTATTTGTAAGCGAGTCCAAGTTTGGAAGAGGAGGAACAAAAGCGGTCTCAGGTGTAACACCCACGGGAGGTAGTACAACATCCATGGAAGGCGGAACAAGAGCCTCTGTAGAAATGGGCCTATCGTCGAGACTATCAGAGCACACTGGAGAAAATGCCTTAACTGGAGCTGCTAAGTCTCTCACTTCTGGTGTCAACGATCTTACAGGGGGAGACATGACAGTTGGGGGTGATACAAAACGCGAAGAAGCCGGAACAGGTTGATCGATGGACGATACAAGTAAATCGCTGGAGGCAGGCATATAATTGGCAGGTAATGAAGATACCGACTTCACCGGAGATCTACGCAAAGAAGGTGATATTACGGACGGTATAGGTGACAGAATAACTGCCTCAGATTCAACATCAGACACGTGAGCTGTGTCTACATGTGGCGGAGTCGGAATTACCGAGACTACATCTACCGTAGGTGAAAATGCAGTGGGAGCTCGAGAAGATTCCATTATCATCAAAGAACTCTGAACTTGAGATGAAGAATCACTCATGACAATATGAGAGTCTTGTTCTTGATCTTCAGAACCGATTTGCCTCAAAAAGTTGATATCATCCATTGTGGGTGAGAGAATACGAGGCTCTTGAGGAGGAGGCCATTGCTTGACTAATTTTTTCGGAAGACGCTGAACCTGTGTTTCTGAAGCCACCTCGAATGGAACGGTTGTACTGGAAACTTCATGAACAGACTTAGATCTAAAACTTCGTTCTTCGCGAGTCATTTTAGACTGCATAGTAGTTAGTTCACGAGGACTAACCACTGGAGTCTTCACAGTTGTTTTTTGTTGTGGTGTTGCGATACTTTGAACTAAGCTCTCTTCCGATTTCATGAATTTTTTCATAAGACTCGGTTTCTTTATTGAATCTTTCGTTGATGGTTTTTCATGAGGTGCACTTGCTTCTACAGACAATTTTTCTTCTTCTTTAAAAATCTGAGGTCGCATAGGACCTTCAAACGCAGGCAAAACATCGAACGCAGAGGGAGGAAGTGGTTCCTTACCTACCGAAGCAGTTCTAACGGGCTTCTGTTTGACTGGTACATTAAATTCAATTCGTTTGATGACCAAATTTTGCCTTGTAGAAGGAGTCGAATAATCTGTTTCACTTTCATTCTCGCTCTCAGTGAACGATCCCGGAATAAACTTTTTGGGTTTAGGAGGCGGAGGAACGCTCTTTGGACGCTCCCTAGGTTTTCTTACTTCGACGGTAAACGGAAAAGGTTCCAACTTCGGTAACTCCTTCGGTGTTTCTACTCTCGAAACGACTTCAGCATTGGTTGTATCTTCAATAACAATTTTTTCGTCAGGTTTTGTCTTTTTGAATGACGGCGCTAGCATATCCTTCGTTGGAGATGGCGTTGGGAACATTCTGATGCCACCGGGTACCTCTTCTGGAGTAAGAGGAACGATTGTGTCTTCTAATCTCATTGCAAGTTGCTTTACAGATTCTCTTTTTTTCCTGGGGCGCCGTAAATCTCGCTCGTCTGTTTCGGGTGCTCTGGGAGGCCTCGACATTTCGTCGCTTGGGCGAATTTGTTCGTAGCTACTCTGGTAATCTGTTTGAGTCAGAGACGAACTTACGGGGGTGTCGGCAGCTGGGAAATATGAATAAGATCTTAGCTCACTCGTATATGAATCACTTTGTTTCTCAATTCGTGAACTCGAATGCAAAGTTGACTCTTCTGTAGATTTGTAAGATATCAAATTAGGAGAATTTAAAAAGCCTGACGGGAGTGAGTCGGACTCCATTCGAGGCTCAGAAGTCGTGAAAGGTTCATCTGACGTCATATCTGAAAATGATTCAGGCACTGCTGCATGTTCTAAAATGGTTGCAAACTTTGGTTGAATTTCTAGCCGTTCTTCGTCTACATATTCATCTTTTACTTCCAACAACCTAGGTTCTGGGCTTTGGATAATTTCTAACTCGGGAGCATGGGGTGGTGATGCTGGAGGACCAGTGGAAAAACGGTCTGCAATGTAAGGAGGTAAGGAAGCAGTTTCGTTAGGGATCTCCTGACGTAGGAATGGATAAGACACCTTATCAGTGACAGACTCCTCTTCTATGAAGTCCTCATGAGGAAAGTACGGAATATCATCTAGAGCTTTTGGAGCTTCAGCTACTGTCACAATAGTTTCCAACTCTCCAGCAAAATCAACCTCAGAGTCAACGTGTTGAACTTCATTCAAAGTTTCGAAAGGAATCACCTCTTCAGGTTCGACTTCTTCTTCTGAAATTACGCGGGCCGGCTTTTTGCCCAATGAGCGCTGTGTAATTTCATCCACAGGTTTATCAGCTTTCTCAGCTTGAACTACTTCGGAAACTGGTTGAACGGGCAAGTCTACGCCACCGCTCATGGTTACGTCTTGTTCTTCCGTTGTTTCAGCTACAACGAAATCATCATCGAAACTTGGAAACTGCACCAGATAAGCCTGTGTTTCGTATTTTGATTCGTTTTGGGTGAGGGACTTCATTTCGATGTTTTGTTCTACTTCGACAGCTGTCTCAATGTCGATAGCAGGCTCTACTTCGGCAGTGGGCTCTACTTCGGTTGTGGGCTCTTCTTCGACAACGGGCTCTTCTTCGACAACTCGCTCTTCTTCGACAACGGGCTCTTCTTCGACAATGGGCTCTTCTTCGACAACGGGCTCTTCTTCGACAACGGGCTCTTCTCCGACAACGGGCTCTTCTTCGACAGTAGGTTCTACATCGACAGCAGGCTCCCATTTGGGAACAGGCTCCATTTCAGTAGCAAGTTCCATTTCGGAAACGGGTTCCATTTCGGAAACAGGTTCCATTTCCGAAACAGGACCCATTTCCAGAACAGGCTCCATTTCAGGAACATGCTTCATTTCCGTTGCGGCCTCCATTTCAGGAAGTCGATCAAATGCAGGTATCAGTTCGACATCTGCGGCCTGCTCGGCTTCAAACATGGACTCGTCAGGCATTGATTCTGTAGCAGGCTCAAACATATCTTCATCTCTTTCTTCGCTGCGGATTACTTTAGTTTCAACTATTTTATACTCCGATTCTTCATACGTACGCTTGACTTCCAATTCGCAAGTTTCTTCGATCTTTCTTTCAAGATAGTCTACGTGATCTTTAGGTTCGAAAGGAACTTCACTTTGGTCTATTTCCATTGGCTCTGCTGCTCCAACCTCAGTAATAGGTACCGTGCTGGCAGGAACAACGTAGCTTTCCGTCACCGTTGCGGGCTCATGCATTACAACTTCCCCAGCTTCAAAACATTCCATGCCTTCGTCGTCTTCACGTTCTAAAGGTACAACGCCAAATCGAGGTTCAGGTTCGGGCTGAAGCTCAAACTCACCATCAGGAAATTCAATTGCCTGTGGCGCTTTCCAAGATTTTCCAGATGATCTAATATCAAGCGGAGTAGCGTCAGCACTGCTTTCCATCTCAGTAAAAGTCGAAACGATCGACGAAACCTTATGCTTGAAGACCTCCGCACTAGGGTCGATTCTGTAGGAGATCGGATCCTCTTCGGGAGGTGGAGGAGGCCAGGCTTTTTTCAGTCTTCCTGGAGGTTTTCGTTGCACTTCAAAAATGTCTTCAACAGGGACGGACTCTTGTCTGTCCAAAGGCTCAAAATGATGTTGGTCAGGTGTAGGTTGAGGCTGAGGGGAGGGTTTGATAATAAAAGGTTTTTTAGAAACAGGAAAAAGGGGATCACTCTCCACTGCAACCTCCTCAATGGCTCGAGTTATGCTCTTTACAAGACCTCGCCCTGATCTTTGAGTTTCATTCTGCGTCAAGATATGAAAAAAATTCACCGGTTACATGAAGTGCAGGAAAGAATTCGTAAGGATGCCTAACTAATGAGCAAGTTTTAAAGGCAAAATTGTGGACGAGTCTATATCGAAGCAAATACATGAAGATGAGCCATGCAATCGTGTAGATGGATATGACGTCATAAAATAAACTTAGCCTCAGATAACGATGCAAGCCCAGGAGCAGCAAGCAGGTGAGGTACTAAGCAAATAATAGTGCTAGTCGGACCCTCCAAAACCATGACACATTTAGACCAGTAAGCTTACCAGAACGAATAAAGATGTTTTTTCTTTACATTTTCATGTGATGAGGGTTATATACAAAAATTGAAATTATTTAATTTTGGGAACATTAGGTGGAATTAACATGGGATTGTCACCATTTCAAGGAAAAACTTTGCTAAAAATTGTCCTTGAGAGAGAAAATTTTCTAATCCAATCGCTCTATGGAAGCTCACTGTGGCCAAGGGCAATATAAAGTATAGAAGAGTGCATAGTAGGCTACTCGCGTGCGCAACGCGTCGTGCACAATAAGCACCAAGGACCGCATACTCAAAAGAAATGGCAATATCGTTCATTAAGCAGTCACCGTTACATTGCCAAACAAATCTTACTAAATATAAAGGTGAACTCCGATGTCAAATATACTTGAACTTGGGACCACATCGATGCACACCAGCATTTTTGAGCAAGTAAACTAAATGCAGCACCGAAAGCCCGCAAGCTGTACAAAATAAACAACTTTAATCATCGCAACATACGAAGACCGTCTTACTTTCTGCTGCATTGAAGAGTCCGCGAAGAGTCGAGCGCCAGGGAGCTGCGGCATCTGCTGCATGATCAGCTCCGTAACCAAGACGTCAGCGAGACACTCGGCCCGACCAGCGGGGTTGTGGGCCACGACGCCGTACCGCGCGCTGTCTGAAAGCTCGCCTGGACAACCGAACATTCGGAGCGGTTGTAAAAGGAATATAAAGGTAAAGGAACATCAATGTTGGTCATTAAATTAAATAGTATGGAGCGGTTGTACAACGAATATAAAGGTAAAGGGACATCAATGTTTGTCATTAAATTGAAAAGTAACCGAACATTCGGAGCGATTGTACAACGAATATAAAGTTCAAGGAACATCAATGTTTGTCATTAAATTGAATGAAACAATCCGGTATACTGCGTCCGTATCTCGTCTAAATATCAAATATCTGTTAAGGAGAAGGTAATCAAGGCTTTAATAGCTGCATGTGTTACATTTCTTAGATTTCGGAGACGAGCAAATGTGGAAGTTTTTATCCAAGCTGCAAATTTTGGAAAGTGTAACTCACAAAAGCATAATTGAGAAAAAGCAAACCAAGCAACATAGTTGTGGCAAGCAATCACTGGCAAATCGGTAGAATTTGGAGAATAAATTGATAATCCTTCTGAAAGACTAATGAATATGCCTTTAAAAAGTTCTTTTTAAAGGCTACACTTCTAAAGAGGCCGGTGTTACAAATGTAAAATAAATTTCTTATTCTATTTTTAAATAAATAAAAAATCATATTTATGAAATAATTTTTTTTAAATATTCAAAATAATTTTTTTTATCTTATCAATTGATTCATGCATTGTCTCCGATTTTAAGCAAGTGTGCAAAATTTCACATCGATTGGACAAGTAGAACTGTGATAAATATCGATTATAAGATTTGTGGCAGACAGACAAAAAACAAGAAGTGAAGTTAAAGATAAAAGTGTTGTAAAAAAATAACATAAATTGACCACCCAACCTTTTTGTATGAGGAGCGAGTGTCTGGTTCCCTCGCGCCGTATGGCCACGCGGTCGGAGGCCTCGAGAGGCAGACCGTTCCTGGTCCACCGGACCTCCGGCTCAGGAGTCCCCGTCACGTCCACCTCCAGGAACAGTCGCTCGCCCACCCCCAGCACCGCGGGCTGCAGACGCTTGCTCAGCACCGGCGGGAACTGGGTCTCTGCAACATGCGCTGCCATTGAGGATTGGAGAATAGATATTTCTGCAGTGCAGGGAAAAAAGTAATCGCGAGAAAGTGAAGGGGGGGAATTGAACATATTCGGATGCCAAAGAAGAGCGTGCCATCAGGATGATGGTGGCAAAGTTTCACGAGAACGCGACCTGAACGCGCTTTAGGATGCAAACGAGAATGTCATGAGATTGATAATTTTTCGAATATATAATTTAGAGTATGATAAGATTGGTGATTTACCGGATTTTGAAATCGAAACTTAAAGGTAACACGAGAAAAATTAACCCTATTTAGGTGAGGGAAAATTCCTCTCCTATATATTAGCAAAATCTCAATAAGCTTCCCGCTTGACTTGACGCAAAGCGCAATCTTCTGTCACCATCAAGTCGAAAATTCCAAGCTTAAAATCTAAATAAATGCAACAGTACCGAAAAAAAAAAGATCGTGAAGTGATAAAAATTCACGAAATATAAACATTATTAAACATAAACACGATTATTAAACATTATTTAAGCCAAAGAACGTAGACTTGTCAGACTTTTAACGACGAGATCGCAGGTGCAGTGAGAGGAGCCCGCCTCGTTGTCGATGGAGCAGGTGTAGCGGCCCGCGTGCTGCTGCGTGGCCGAGGGCAGCACCAGCGTCACGCGGTTCAGGTGAACCGACGGCACACAAGACGCGTCCAGCGGCCCTCCGTTGTGGCTCCAGCTCACAACCGGTTCAGGGTAGCCTGGGTACAATTACGAGATAAATCTTCCACTTCCGAGATAAATCCACGAGATAAATCTTTCCACGAGATAAATCGAGATAAATCTTCCACTTCCGAGATAAATCTTCCACTTCCGAGAGGAATCTTCCACTTCCGAGATAAATCCACCAGATAAATCTTTCCACGAGAAAGCTTTCCACGAAATAAATCTTCGCACTTCCAATTCATTAATCCCAACATAGCTAATGGGTTATGTTGGGAGATTAATGTAAAACGAATGGGTTTTGTTATATGAACTAATGTTATAGATGAGGGAATACTTAAAAATTTAATAATTTCCAATTGTGTCGCAAGCCCACTACTTTTTCATGTTAACCTTAAAGCCATTCGTGTGATTCCAAGAGAAAAAGATAACATGGTTCAATTTTAGTTGCAGCCAACAATTGGTTCGTGGTATCAAATAGTATCACAATAAATTTCATTCAGTAGTTTGTGTTCAATAAATGCAGTAGGCATATATAACAAAATAGAGAACACCTCGGAATAACCACTAAATGTTAACACAAGAACAACCAATAACCAAGTTAAAACACACCTTGACACCTCGGGTTCAAATGCGGGACTGACTAGGATGGACTATAACCTACAAATCTAACTTCCGCATTTCTAAAGTGAAAACTAAAAATAAAAAAATGCAAAATTATTAAAATATAAAATTCTAATTCCCAAAAAGCATCAAGCACCATCAATGACGCATTCAAAGACGACTTTGTCCTGTTCCTTGACGATGAGGCCTTGCAGGGGCGTGATGAACCGCGCAGGCGTCGTCATCTTCTTCTTCACGACTGACCGACTCGTCACTGAGGGCGCCGCCTCCACTCGTCTCTCCTGCATCAGCTCGTCAGTCACCACTGAACCCATCATCTTCATGAAGCCCGACTGACGGAGGACAGAAAAATAGGAATTGGACGTAATGACCTCCGGTCACGAACTTTAAATCGGTCATACACGCAGCATAAAAAGCTCTTTTACTTGCGTCAAAAAAATAAAATTTCACATATTCATAGAAAAACATGCCTACATTGACACATGCGAGCGATATTGAATAAATCTAGAAATCCAGCTAACTGAGAGCGGGCTTGAATTTACCTTTTAATGGTGAGTAAATTGCAATATGGAAAACTTAGATTCAAACTAAATTTTTTTCCAAGTTCGACTGGAGAGCTATAATGGAACGAATATTCAAAGCAAAACAATTTGTAGAAGCAAACGTATTTTATCACCGTTTATTTCGCAAAAAAATATGAAGGGTATATGATTTCAATGATATTAAAAACTTATAAGATTTGAATCTACTTATGCATGTTGTTCAACAGACAAAAACTGAATTTAAGCACGAGTTATTATCAGTCAGCAAAGGGGAATAACTGAACCAAAAATATCTATGCTTAATGAGTTTCAAAATGAAAAAAATACTCGCAGATATTGGGTGATGACAGACAACAACTATAATTAAATTCCTTGAAATAAACAAGCGCTGCGAAGGACCCAAATCATGAACTAAAAATGCATTTTAGGATTTTAGGAATATAAATATATAATGATACACTCTATAAATTCAACGATACACAATCGAATGACGTCTGTTGTCGTGTTTGAATTGAATTGTTGTGCATTGAATTCGAATATTAAATTCGAATACTAAATTCGACTTCGGATACTAAAATTTCATTGACGTTGCAGACCATACCTTATCCTGCATGACGGCAGGCGCGTCGCCGTGCTGCGTGAACTGCGACTCGTGTCGCCCGTGCATCTGCAAGAAACAAGTGCTGATGATGGCGCTGCAGGGATGAGGGTGAGACCAACGAGTGGAGGGTAATATTCTGCATCTGTGGTCTACACCTCACATCTGTGGTCTACACCTCACATTTGTGGTCTATATATCATATATGTGGTCTATACCTCACATCTGTGGTCTAAACCTCACATGTGTGGTCTACACCTCACACAACAGTCCCACACCACAACAGACCTGCACAACAGGGGCATCGTCAACCTTCGTGATGACCGAAGTCGCATGACTCGAAGTCGCTCGTGTCGACGTCTCAGGGGGAGCGTCGGAGCTCGAGGTGAAGATCTTCTTGACGTAGGAAGATGAGGAGGTCGAGTGACTGGTGTGCGAGTAGGACGAGGAACTCTTGGTCGAGATCACCTCCTCCCTCGTGACCTCGGGCATTGCTGCTACCAACGATGCAGGTTCTGTAAACAAGAAAAATACGATTACATTCATCCTATACGGCTAAAAATTTGCTATTATCGAGAATCAGAGATGAGAAAGGCTGCCTGATTCCCAACGTAGATGCTAATCAGTTTAACAGTTTAAAGTTATGAATTTAATGATTCTTGAGCGATTAATATTCCAATGCTAAATAGGATTTTTACATTACGCTGTTTAGATCATCAACTAAATTTTTGCTTCATTCGAGAAAGAACTCGTATGAAGTTTTGTGTTCGGTTTTTATAGAAGAGCCAATTTTCCGGGCTGATTAAACGGGAATCAAGTGGACAAAATTACTTACTATGATTGGGTGCGCCGCTATTAGAAGCCTTCTTAATAATAATTTGATATAAATGATAATGGAGTGATTACAAGACTTCAGAAGAGTTTTAAAGCTGCAGGCAGGAAATGAGGCTGAATAACTGAAACGTATAGGGCTGAATAAAGAAGCTGAAGGGCGAAGAAGGGTCAAAAAGGAAGATTGATTTCAACGGAATGAGTTGTGAAACTGAAGGAGGTAGAGGAATGATCGATTGAGTGAGTGAAAGGTATGAATTGAGTGAGGTACAGGTGTAACGCGGCGTACTTCCACACATTCATTCAATCAAAATTCCACTGAAAAAACACGAATGACACCTAATCTGATTCAGTTATATTCTTACCAGAAGTATTTATAAGATTTAGCTTGCCAAAAAAAAAAAAAAAAAAATTCCTAGCTTGGTAAGAAAAACAATATCGCTACGAGTTCCGTTGGCGGTAGAGAGGGATCGGATCGGTGTTCTGTGACTCACTGCAGCTGCAAGCCATCAGTCACGGTGTGGAATGCATAACAAATATGAAGCAAGGACAGTCTATCAATCGGTAGGCGGATTATAGGTGGCTAACACATGAATCTATGAATGATTCGAGTTATCTCAGCATGTATTCACGTATATATAATGGAATGATTAATTTTAAAACAATTTTGAATACTATCTGCCGGTTAGTAACGTATAATTTGAGCAAATAAAAAATCCCACAGATGAATGCTTTTCGATTCAATATAACAATATGATATGCTTATTTAGGGAGCGAACTATTTCAATATTAAATTCAGCTACCACCGACTATTGGATGCCTGGCTATCATGGATCACTAATATCGCATCAAGAGAGTAATAAAATGCTCTATTTCACTACCCTTCCTTCGTTGATCGTCGAGACATAAAGTGTTTCGCTAATACAAAGATTTACGCACTCTCGTGGCTGACACGTGTAAAATTTCTCTCATTCATTTGAATGTCGTTCATTACGATAATAAGTTGATAATATACATTTAAAGTATTCAAAAAACATTCAAGTATTGGAATATCTCACACACAACGTTTAAACAATCGCGACATAAAAGTCGTGAGTGGCACGTTCAAAGAGTGGAAACCGGCACGTCAGTACAAAAACTTCTTTCCAATCAATCCAGCTTCAACTATGGATTTCTCATCCCTCAAGATTAATCTTCACCTTATAATGCTTTAGATAGTTGATCCAACAACACTATTTTCGAGGAACAAAAAAAAAATGTTCATAGCTAGATGGATTTTTGACTAAACCACCAAGTAATGTCATATACTATTTGTTTTGAACTTTTTTTTCATGGAAAAAATGTGGAGCAAATGAAAAATTAGCCGAATAATTGTTGGAATAATTGAAGCAATATAATTCGATTCAAACTCTTCTTAATTAACGCATTCGGAAAGAACAACCCGATCAAACACGTCAATCACAACAAAAAAATAATATTCGAAGAATAGAAATTTTCAATCAACCTCCATCGTAACTGAAATTAAAATCAATAAGGTTGTTTGATCACTCTTCACTAATATGTTGAACATACGACAAAACATGAATCGTCTCCCTGATCAATCCCAACTTGATAAAAAAGTATAGTCAGCAAAAGCACCCTACAACCTATGCTGCGTATGATGCAATGCAGGCCTGGTCCCGATAAACTAGAGCAAAAACTCATTTTCTGAACTTCTCCAAAACGAAATATTATCGCATTTGTCATAAATTTCGAAAGAAATGAAAGCGAAATCAAATTTGCTCACTATATAACTACTGGCTTCCAACTGACATGTCGCGGTCGATCCCTACTGTTGTCGCTTCCCATTCAGTGCCTCCTAAAACTTATTTCACATCCCTAATTTTACATCATTTCAGACGGCGCGTACCTCAACTTAACCACAGCTTGTGCGAGGGCAACCGCTCTAGGGCGCGTGCGTGTTGGTCACTGAGTAGTGCAACTGTAGACCCGCCGCCCCACTGCACTGCAGACATGGCCGCCCCCGCGACACCCATAAACAAGACCATAAATAGCGCCTAGATCTGACTCAAGTCTTACCTTTCAAACATCGTTCAAAGTAACCTCAAAGTAACGTCTTAAATAGAACCATAATTGAGCGTCACACCTTTGATCCATTGCATGCTGATCCTCAGCTGATCTAATGAGTTGAGGCAATATATGAGCTCAAACAACACGCCAGGCTACATTTCTTACCAACGTAAAGTCAACAGAAGTCTTCAACGCTTATCACCAGATTAGTACCACGAATGAATCCAACATAGCGCCATATTAATCAACCGTTTGTAGGTTTAATGCCTTTAATTTGAAATGAAACTTAGCTTTTATTTTGAGGGATGGTTCCATTTGGATACAGCATGAATGCAATAGAATTTGGGTCGTCATGCTTTTTTCAAGCTCTCGATGAACAAATACCTTTTCAACGTAGGAAACTAACAACGATTCAATAGGAGTGTATCGATGTCATTTATGATGTGTTACCGTATAAACTCACCAGTAGTTGCTTGAAGCTACAGTGACAAAATGCTGATACGAACATCCAGAACTTGAAATAGACCGCGATAAAAGGCACTAACACGAACACCATACGAAACAATCCGTACTAAGGTAAATGCCGGACTGAGAACATCGTGACCAAACTCGGCGGTGCAAGAAGGGACATTATCATTTGAATGCAGGACAAATAACTAAATGCATTTTTAGGAGAAAAAATGAGCTTAGCAACCAATACATTTTAAAAAGAATGAGCGTAGCCACGGTCTGGTGCTCATCGCTTGATGGTGAATTTGAACCTTATATGATGAATTGGGATCTGCAGACCACTCGTCGTTTTTTGAACGTCCTGCTTAATTGATGTAGGACAATTTCTTAGATTTGATACGGTAAAATCCGATTAGAAAATTGACTTTTCTTCATTTGCTTTGAGAATGAGAGCAAATTCCGATTGCTCGATATCAAAATACGCAATTCAGCTATGAAGCGGAGAGATGTACGACTAAGAATTTTTAGTTCAGGCAATGACTTCGAACCACCCACTTATGGCCAGAACCACCCACTTAATTGCACTAGTTAGAGCAGTCATTTAATTATTATTTATTATTATTCAACTGTATTATTCAACTGTAGTATACGAAATGATGAAGCAGAATAATTGTTAATAACTCGGCGAAGTGGATCACGCACGACAGGCAAAATCAGGAGGCAAGGTAACACAAATATACACGGACGGCCGCCTCAGGATTAGACCGCGATTGCATACCAGAGCTTTTTGGCCTGATGACGACGCCGCCAAGAACGTCATGTCAATCAGCTCGCTCTGAAACTAAGCTTAGATTGCATTCTCTCAAACAAAGTAATCAAACACGATTGAACGGCGTTCAGTGACCGGGAATTCAGATTTCAATATTCGTACCTAAAAAGAAGATTGAAATATGTCCAAATAACTATGGCGGAATTTTATCCAGAGATTATTTGTAGTAAGATGCAAGTTCATCCAAAACAGATGAAACTTAAAATGAACTAATTAATGGTAAAACCAACATTGTCTTTCTCTCCCCGATAGCGAAAAGGACCGAGTCAATAACTGAGGTACCGAGTGTTCAGAAATTAAATCTGAAGAATTGCAAAGAAATTGACGTTGCAATAATGAAATATATAATAATGCCTCTATTTATCGAACATAAATCACTTCGTATATGCAATTGCAGTAGAACAATGCAGCCCAGTAATGCAGCACAGCAATGCAGCACTGTAATGCAGTACAGCAATGCAGCACAGTAATGCAGCACAGTAATGCAGCACAGTAATGCAGCACAATAATGCAGCGCTGTAATGCAGCACAGTAATGCAGCACAGTAATGCAGCACAGCAACATCGTCCCGATGGCCTGGCAAACTCCCAAGCTCTGCACTCGGACCTACATTTGCCCCCGCGATCTCGCCACTCTTATCGCGTCATGGGCCTGCGACTTCAACGGTACAAAATGGAATTTTTTCATTTAATTATACACATCATAAATCTAAAACTTAAAATTATGCATTGCCCAGCAATAAAGTTTTTGATTTAACTGAAATTTTTTCGGAACGTCATAAAATATATTTATAGCGCAAATGAAATCACATAGATACGAGTATTTCTCGAACTAAATATTCAAGGAGTATGTATATCCGCGTATCGTAATGCTTGCATTATAAAAAGAGTTATGTTTTATAGGCATTTCATTCCACAAAATTGAGTAAAATATTATACAGCAAACTGAAACCGAATTATCAAAGTTCAATTATGCGCGAATTATCAAACTGATGAAGACTTTTCGAGAGAAATTTGTATTACGTCAGCCTAAGACTCTTCTCAAATTCATTACCGTTAAAAATATCGCAATCAAATATTTTCATGACCAGGCGACGAATTACTCATATCAATTCAAAGTAGCGAATTTTGAAACTTGAAATACTTGAATCAGTATTTTAAATAGTAATATACCTGACTCGCCGAAAAATCATGAATGCGATCGGATCAGTCAATGCGGCAGTCAAGATTATATCGACATTCTGCTCCAAGAGATTGTGTTAACAAATGCAATGACGCATTAATGCTGAATTACTTGAAATATTTAGCACAATAAATAAAATCTGAACGAAAATTT